GGCTGTTTCACCAGAATCTGTTAGCGAGATACTCCTATTATTCCTTACATTAAAAAGAATGGTATGAAGAGTAGTCATTTCTGACTAAACTCTTGGCCTGAAATCTTGCCATGGCAGCTTTCTGGCATATTATTTTCATAGGAAATCTAAATATCACAGCTTCTCCTAAATCCTGTTTCACTGCATTTTTGCTTACCCTCTTTCTAATTGATGTGCATATAAATGGATTTCATGTTCTTCAGTCTTATGCCTAAACAAGAGGCTAGCAATGTAGCACTGGTGTGGTCTTAAAAATTTTCTCTCTTTTCTTTCTCTTGTGTTCTTTGCTTTACTCTTTTCAGTGGCAAAATGCAAAGCCTTTGAGAGTAGGATTTCTGTCTTGTTTTTGTAAATTGCTTAAAAATGCTTGCCACAGCAGATGCCTTACAAAGAATTCGTTCAAATTTTCAAGAAAAAAAAAATTGCTTACATTTATATCTTAACAGAAAGGCCATCTTATGCCCCACCTCCTACCCCAGCTCCTGCAACCGTAAGTATAGTGATTTTTCTCATTAACACAGAGCTGGTAATACAGCCTTTAATAACTTACCAGAGCAATAATTATGGAGTTGCATCACCTTCCTGTATTGGAAACACAAACTAGTTTTATTTCATTATTAATATGATATGCATTGTTTAAATTAATCTCATTTTTTAAGCACTTTATGAAAGAGAGGCTGAATAAACTTGTTTCATCTTTAAGGCTGCTTACAAAGTATCTGCAGGATCTAGCCTTAAAGGTGAAATTATTCACAGGGAGTTGCAACAGTATACTGGAATATTTAAGAACAAGCTGCTATATTTAATTCTAAAACTTCCTGCTCAACTTGTGCCCAAATTATGGGCAAACAGTGCATTTTTTCCTGTTTCTGTTGCACCTAGCTGATGTTCAGTGGAATCCAGGAGTATGCAAAATTCTGTTATGTTGAATAACAGAATAATGAAACACTCACGATGCCAGTCTTATTCAAATTTCTTGAAATCGCTGGTATTTTGGAGTCTACGGCATAAGAAATATTTTACTCTAGTGAAGTGGTGTGGAATGGCACTGAGGAAGAAATGAACAGTCGTTTTGAATCATGTCCCGTTGCATTCCTGACAGCACATTTTTTGAAACACAGGTGTGCTGTGGTCAGGAGAGCATTTGAAAGAAAACGCGCCTCTTCTGCAGCCTTCCCATTTCTAAATAGCTTGCATTTTAGGAGTAACATACTCACAGGAGAAAATGCAAATCTTTTGTACAGAAGAACGAGCGAAGATGCTATAGTGAAATTTTTTTACCAAAGAAAATTGGAAAACTGTTATCCAGCAGAGTGTCCCTGATCTCTGCATCTGCAGAGAAAACTGCAGGATGGGATTTAGATGAAATGTGATCCTTCAAATTTATTGTGCCATACTTTACATTTGAAGAGGCATGGAAATTATATAATGTATAAGTTATGTTCTTAAAAATTTACACAAATAAAACTTTATTTGCATAGTTTGTTTAGAGTTTTCGTTTTGCACAGACCTTAATAGATTTGTGCCAGTCTTAGAAGGAACATGGTGGCGACCGCTCTTACAGCTGGATCCCTGCATCGAGATCTGTGACTGTATGTGTGTGATTCCCTTGGGACGTAGCGTGGATACAGGTGGTGCTAAACGGTGGATACTGATGTGGTACATGCGTTAGTCAAATTAGGAGTCTTCAGAAGGGTACATGAAACAAATTTCAAAACTGCAACTGATGACGTGCGTTACCTGTCTTTCAAGCATCTTCTGTATTACTTATTTTCTACAGTCCCTGGTCTGCGCTCTGTTAACGCAAGGCATTAAAACAGACAAATAACCTTGCTTGTTCTTCCACAGCCCGTTCCGGTTTCTACAGTCAACAAAATTCCAGTAGTTCTCATAACTACAGTATTATAGCTGAAGTAAAAATTCTCCATGTAATGCGAGGTAGTTCCCTTGTAACGTTTAAATCCTGTCTTGCAGAAATAAAGAATTAAGCAGACGGAGATTACAATTGTCATCTGGTTTTATTGAAGAGGTGTAGTTCAACATATTCAAAACCTGTTGTTATGGTAATACAGAAAACTATAGTAAAATGGTGTCTTATTAAATAGTGAATGTGTATGTCATGATCACAGGCGTACAGATTGAGTAAATGTCAACTGCTGTGACTGAGTGCAAAAAGTTTGGCAATAAAATATGTATCTGAAGGCTGACTGTTACAGGATAAATTCACTCTGTATTTGTACATTTAGAAATAAACTAACTACAGTGTGTCTACACATACTTGCAAATTTCACAAGTTAACGTAGCTTAGCTTATAGCTTATTTTTGTTCGGTGTTTGTATTTGTCATACCTTGGTTCTTGGAGTCCTCAACCTATTTGTAGATTTTTTTGTAACTGTAATCTCGAATGGATCCAGTCAGCAAATCACTTTGAGACTATTGGCATATGGGTTTCTTATTAGGGCCAAAGTGCTACTGAAGAGTGGGTCACTGCAGATGATCCTTAAATGTCTAGAAACGCTACAGGGTATCATGAATCCTAATGGCATGACAGGCCCACCGCAGTCAGGACTTGATCACAATTATTATTAAATAGTTGATACTTTTTCTCCAACAAAATTTGATTTGGAAGTGGGGGACAATGGAAAAAGGCAGGAGAGAGGTTATGTGAGGAGGAGAATACAGTGAATACTGATACTTGATTGTATGTAGACGATAAGCAAGAAGGGATTGTAAAGAAATTAGATTCTTCTGTACATTACTGAGGTGAGAACGAATCCATCCACTTTCAAGAATGAATGAATGAAGATGTATTGATTAACTTCTTAAATTGTCTTGGATTCGGTGATCTGTTAAGACTAGTTTGTAGTGTCTAACCTGTAGATCTTCTTGCAGGGGTTCCTCAACTCTGTCAGTCTGCAGCCTGCCTCGTAACAGAAGGATATCTCTGAATTGTCTTCTCTCCCAGCTTTCCAATCCCAGTTCCCCAAAATATTTAAATTTTGCAAACCACCAGGAGAGTCTTCAGATGCTGGTAGTGGTGCACAGATGGTGCTTTGAGAGATTTCACCCTCCCCCTGTTTATTGACAGTATAATGTTTGTTGGAAAGGCGGAATGATGGTTCCTTGGTATAGTAGATGTTGACACTGGGGATTTCTGCCCAGTTACTGTGTGCTGTGCTGCCGTGTGAGCTTAACGCAACGCTTCGGATATAAGAGTCTTCCTGAATTACTTGGTAGCTGATGTTGGAAAAATTTATTAGCCGTGAGCTGGATTTATAGAATACTTGTTTAAATGAGTTACACATGTCATAGAAATAAAATGACCAACTTCAGACAGAAATTTGTAGTGATATGTTTGCTTAAAAATCCTGTTTCCTTAATAGGTTTATACTGGAGTAAGTTTTGTGTGTTGAGAAGATACCAACTGCTACACCTCATTTGCTTGTTTAAATTCTGGTTGCTTTTGCATGCCATATTGCAGTTCATTTTCATTTCTGTGTTTTCCTCGTTTGAGCTCATTTCTCATTCGTGTTTTTGTCTCATTTGTTTCCATCAGCAAATGCCCAGCACACCAGGGTTTGTGGGATACAATCCATACAGCCATCTGGCCTACAACAACTACAGGCTGGGAGGGAACCCGGGCACCAACAGCCGGGTCACGGTAGGAGAATCAACTATTACATCATCCGGCAAACAACAGGAATTGACCAGAAATGGCTTTAGAGTTAGGTTCTTCTGAGTCTTGGCTGCTGCCACTTCTTTATAAAAACAAAACATTACTTCTGATTCTTATTCCCCACCCCTACCCCCCTTCCCTTTCACTCTGAAACCTTTTGCAGGAAAATGGACTTCTACTCCGCAGAGAAAAAATTGTGGTAATCGTGTATGATGCAGAACTCCAAACAGACTTTGTGGTCTTCAGTGACCGCTGCATGCTTAGGGAGAAGTTCTGTAGCATGGGTACAAATTATTGGAGGGAGGGAACTACTCATTTTATTAAGGTTTATTGGCACGAAAATAAGGAAGAACATTTTGCAAACTGGAGGTTGTTGGTAGTGGTTGCATCATACTATTGAGCTATGCGACAGATGCAAGCCTTTGTTTTTCTTTCCAGTCTGAGTCTGGTAATAACTGCAAAGTCCCAAGTTCAGAATTTATTTTTTTTTCAATAAAAGTGTGGTGGTAATAAGATAGAATCCTTTCAGATCTTACGTACTCTGTCAGTGTGTGGAAAATGGATGTTAAATTCATTTTTCATGGAGTGAACAAAGAGAGATGGAGTCAAGAGATGAGAGGTGACAGCTTCTTTCAAATACAAATTAAGTCCTGAGCATTGGATGCAGTTAGGAACAAAAATAGACTGTGGAAGTGTAACAGTTTCATAACTAACACAACAGAAATAGAGTAAATCCCTGATTATTTTTTTCTAAGTTCCTGTAATTCTCATAACTTTTAAGATTTTTCATGTAAAACTTTCTACCTCAAAACATCTGATCAGCTTGGAACATGATGTAAAAATTTCTCAAAGAACAGAGACATAGTGCTTTTAATGAAGTGTATTCTTTTTATGCCTCTCTTACATAAACCTTCTTTCAGACTTCATATAGGAAGTTCATCTGGTTTGTTAAAACATTTACAAAAGAGACCTTCCCCATACAAGCTGGAACTTGACTGAACGTACTATCTGAACATAAACTTTTTTCCTTATACAAGAATAAGTTAGGTTTTGTCTGAGAACTTTCATTGTTTCTGTATGTCATAAGCATATACAGCCTTCTCCGCCATGCATATATCAATATATGTATGGTGTCTTTAAATTCCTGTTAATTTAAAAGCATTAAACAATTTCTGTTAATGTTTTTCAAATCCATCTGTATGTGTATATATGTATACATTTTGGTAATGCATATACCTCATGTACATTATTTATATCGATACACAATTCTGTATGCATTGTTTCACAGAGCTCCATAAATTCAGCAAAACAAAAAATATCAGGAGGAAAAATTTGAAAGCTGAATACTGAACATGAGCCTTCTTGGCCAAATGCGAGTATTTGCTTGTCTATGGCCGTAATCCTGAAAAATCTTGAAACTGGTTTCTCTTTTCATCAAAATGCTCCCACTTCATGTAACAGAACTCCTTGCATGCGTAAGTGCTTGAAGAGTGGAGGTTTGCAGAACCTGCAGGTGACGAGGGCTGTGACGTTACTGCAGTATTTTAGGAGAAAACCCCGTCAGGTGTTCCGTAGGTTGAGGGGACAAGAGGGGATGCAGCTGCTTTCCATCAGCAACAGTTAGTGCTCGGTGTCCTTTTGTTTAGTGCAGGCAATGTGTTTGACAGCGTACAAAGCTAAAGGGAGATGAGAGCACAGAAGGCTATTACAGGCTAATTTGGACAATTAGGTACAGCTTGGATACAAATCATGCACATATTGACAGATCAGCTGCATAGGGTTGTTATCTTTTTACAATGAGATATTGTAAAATATCTCCAAATTACCACTGCCATATTTTGCAGACAAATATATTGCTAAAATGATTTGAAAATGAAAACATGTCTTGATAACTTCGTGATCTTAAACTTTCTCCTTTTCTTCTCTCACCTGTACAGTAGCCACAGTAAATTTGTCAAAACAGGTACAATAAATTGCTCATCAGAAGTGAGAAAAACAAGCTGCTGGGATTGGTGTTTCCATGTAAATCTCTAAGCTGTGTATTTCAGTTTTAAGAATATGGAGCCCTTTTGAAGATTTACCTAGTTACTACTCTGTAAACTACAGATAAAAGGACAAACTTAAATTGGAAAAATACTATTGTGAGGACCAGCTGTAGTTAGTACCCGTTCACAGTTCGGGCAGTTTTTTTGGTGATGTTGCTTGCTTCTCTTGGTGGGGGTGCGTGTGGTTGGTTTGTGTTAACTGCACAAGAATGAGTGTTTTCCAAAACTACTGTGTATAGAAACTGCCCAGCGATCACATTAACGAGTGGATTTATTCGGTTCTTTTATAGGCTTCCTCTGGTATTACCATTCCAAAGCCCCCCAAACCCCCAGACAAGCCCCTGATGCCCTACATGAGGTACAGCCGGAAGGTGGGTATACAGTGTCAAACAAGTAATAATAAAAGTTAGTGTGCGTATGTGCTAACAATTAATTGCTGTTATCTTAGTTGCAGCTTCTAAACTTTTACTTCTAACAGCCTGCACATTCTTTTAAGGGAATTGTAAAGTACAGATGCATTGCCCTTCAGAATAAAGGCAGCAGTAGTCTGTTCATGCAGTTGCCAATTTCTGGGGGGAAAAGTTTTCTCTAAAATGATAATTACTACCACTGTCTCTGCTGACAAGGATCCACCCTGCCACAATCAGAAGTTCCTGTGACTTACTGACAGAACTTTTTTATATAAAGGAAGTATTCCTTGCGGTATACTGGGCTTGGTACAGTGCTGTAGCTGGACTGAAGAGTAGCAATGAGTGGACTTTGCATGTTCTCCTTCACCAACCTAGTGGCAACGTTTGCTTCGCTATTCTATGAACTGTTTGACAGAAAGTAGGAGAGAGACTCTTGTGGAGTCTGAAATCTGATGGGGCATGGGGAGGGCATGTCAGCCTGTCTGAAGCGGGTGAGCCAGAAGGAATTTCTTCCACTTCTGGTAAAGTATCTTTACCAGCGTGTCTGTCTTAGGCAAAAAACCATCAACAAAAAAAAAAAAAAAGTCAAGTGGCACAGCAAGAAATAACGCTGGCAGCTCTCCTCTTTTTTTTTTCCCCTATAAAGTTAGAAACTTTTTTGGTGGAGTCAGAACTTGTTGGAACTCAAATTGATCAGCAAGACTGAAAAATATTTTGAAATGTTACATTCTGATCTGAAAAGCTCAGTGCTCTTTATCGTAATCTACTGCTGGATGTGTTTACTCAGTAGCATTTTTTTTCCCAGAGATGCAGCGATGTGCTTTTAAGAAGAGAATTAAGAGGGTTAAAGGCCATATTCTCATGAAAGCAAAGCCATTTCAACAATTGCCTGTTTCAGTAGATGGCTTCCTACTGACTTCCTGCCCCAGAAAATAATCGAGATAGTTTAGCCAGACTCGTTCCTAACTTAATCCTGTTTTTCATGGTGATTCCAGAAAGAACACTGAGATGACAATATAAAATGTTTAATTTGGAAGTATTTAGATATCATTAGTAAAGCTCCAGCTGTTTCTGTTAAGGTCTGGGACCAAGTGAAGGCGTCCAATCCTGATTTGAAGTTATGGGAAATTGGCAAGATTATTGGAGGAATGTGGCGAGATCTCACTGATGAAGAGAAGCAAGAGTATTTGAATGAATATGAAGCTGAAAAGGTAAATGGAAGAAATCTGGGATGTTTATTACAGCTGATTCTTCTAGGAACTGGTCTGAGAAGAAAAATTCATCTTACCCATGCAGTGGTGTATGAGGCATTCACGAGACCCCTGTATGTAACTTAAATGGAAGTATGTCCTGACACGTCTTTTAGATTTTTTTTTTTTTTTTTAAATAACAGTACATCAACTGTGACTGGTCAGTTTTTAGACCTAATTCAAAATGAAGTATTTATAATTGAGTGTCGATTTTAACTGTTTAATGAATGGATTTGACTGTACAACATCAGTATTGAAAAGATTGTCTCAACACCAAAATCCTCTTTCAAAACTGGTGCTCTGCAGCTACTGCTATTGTCATGAACGGGTTCATAACAGACTTCCAGTCACGCGGGGTTTGGTTTTCATGGTGTGATCTGGTGTAACTCCACGCTATGGCATAGTGTTTTGTTTCTTAATAGAAAAATGCTACCACTTCTAGGGGTTTGTTGTGGTTTGGGTTTGGTGACAAAAGATGACAGCTGCCTCGTGTGTCCAGGCTGGTAAGTGGTGAGGACCTTCACAAGGCCGTTATTGTGAACCTGAGGTACAAAGGGAGAATTGTCGAGCTGCTGTGTTGTGCTTAAACCTGGTAGGCATCTGAGGCTGTGTGTAACCTGCTCAAACCTAAGCTGGTTTTATTCCAATTCAGTGGAGAAGTACTTCAAAACTGGGCTCTTAGTTGGAAAAAAAAAAATAATCAAGGAATTCTATTTTTTAACTTGGTAATGATGTTTAGATTGTAAGCTCCTTGGGGCAGGGGCCATCCTGTTTATATTTGTACAGTGCCTCAGTAGAAGGATTCCAGTCCTAATCGTAAAGAAAACAAGATGTTTAGGTACTTTTAGTAATATCGTAGATTATATCTCATTTTTCATTGGAAATATCACAAATCGTTGTACAAAATCTAGACTTGGCACATTTTAATAGTGAGATTAAAGAAAGCGATTCAAGGAAAAATACTTCAGAGATGGTGAAAGTAGTGATGCAGTTGTGCTACCAGAAGGAGACAGTGGTCTGGCTGCGGCATTCTGTATCATCCCAGTGCAGGGATGGGTCAAAGAATGGAAAAATTGTAAATTATTTTGAAAACTGTTCCGTGACATACTGGAATAAAGAAAGAGAAGAAATCAGAATCAAAGATCTAGTTTGAACTCCAGAGAATTACTGAGACTATTTTAACTCATTTGTTCTTATCTTATCAGAGTTTGTCTGATCATAAATGCCTTGTTCTGAGGTGTTTGATTTTTAAATCTTATAAAACTAAACTATTGTAAGACTTCTCAGGTATTAAACCTGAAATGTACCTAAAAGTCCAGCTAGTGTTTTTCAAACATAAATGACTATGGAAGAAGCTCTAATTTGTAAAAAGAAAGACTGAGAGAATATGGTCATTTGTGTATCCGCCAGATGATGCAAAATGGCTTTGTGTAACTGCAGTTTGAGTTGTACAGGCTACAGTTATGTCAAGTCTGAAATCGTCCAATGGTGCAATCAAACAATATTGGTCACGTTTCAGATAGAGTACAATGAGTCCATGAAGGCCTACCATAACTCTCCTGCGTACCTTGCCTACATCAACGCAAAAAGTCGTGCTGAGGCAGCGTTGGAAGAAGAAAGCCGCCAAAGGCAGTCGCGCATGGAGAAGGGCGAACCTTACATGAGTATACAGCCCGCGGAAGACCCAGACGGTAAGCGGCAAGGAGTTTGTATGCAGGTCCAGTGAGAGTCTCATTACAGGACCGACAGTCTAAACGGATGCCAGATACAGAAAACTACCGCTGTACAACTTTCACAATGCTTAATGTGACTTCTTTTCTGTTTTGGTGCCTTTAATACTGATTTTCTTTATCACGTTTTGTTTCATACAGCTAACAGCTGACTAGGTCTTGTTTCCAAAAACTAAGGTGGTAAGCCAGGGGCAAAAGTTATTCCAGCCCTTAATTAGGTGTGAAGTAATGCTCACAGTTCAAAACAAGTCAGTCTGCTTAAAGCTCTGTAATGGCTTTAACATATGCATTATAAAAGGCTTAGATGCCTGATTTAATCCAGCTTGAATGGAATTTCGTGCTTTATTACCAGAAGAACATAATTCTGACAAGCAGAGTTCTGGTGTGATTAGGAGCACCTGAACTTTGAATGCGTTCAACAACTGTCAGTTGAGATTGTTTAGGAAATAAGTTACCCTTGCTGCTGACACCTTGATGAGAAAATTCTGAAAGTTTATTTGTCTGTGAGGAAATGCACCCCACCCAGTGGGAAAACCCAGACTCACAGACCTCATGTCTGCTTTTAAATCCGTGACCAAATACCTGTTGAAACCTGAGGGTGAAAAATGTACTCAGTCAGTTACACCCTTTTTTTTTTTTTTCTCCCCCCTTGTAAAAGTGTACCCGTGAGAGAAAGCTCATGGCGAACAGCGCTTTCCCCAGGGTGAGGTAACTGCAGAATTCCTGTTGATACATTTGGTGTCCCGGTAGCTGGCATCCGGGGACTTCAAACTGTCCTGTGCTGGCGGGGCCAAGTGGACTCGGCCAGACGCGGCTGCCCTACACCCTGAGCAGCATCTCTTCGTATCTGGGACAAAACAGCAAGTTATTCCTGGGACAGAAGTGTTGCTTCTGTGTGATCCTGCATGTCACCAGGCTCGAGAATTTTTAGCATAAAAGGATCTTAAGAGGACAAAGACACAACTTTAAGGGGATCAGTTTGCTTAATGCTTCTTCGTCTTCTGCCAATCTATTGTCTTCCCACTATTTTTCTCTTTCTGCTTTATTTAGTCAGATACCTCAATGAGAAACTGAACGTAACACTTTGAGATAAAGGAGACAAACTCATTAAACTGGTTCTCTTCTTTGGTAGTATTTTCTGGCATGATATGTTAGCGTTCTCCATGAGACTGCTGTGAATAGTTGGAGAGTAATCTCCATTAGGAAAACTTCATGTAAAATAAATTCAACTTCTGGACTTTTCCGCATGACATCATTCTGGAAGATAGTTCATACTGTTGCTTAACTGATTTTAACACTCAACTAAATATGAATTATACTCACAGAAGTTTCTTCCAAGTTTGTTTCCTCACCAGTACTTTATGCTATTTAATTACTGTGCTTTAAAGTTTGACTTGAATTTTTCCGAGTCTGTTTTGTAGATAGGTACTTGATACCAAAACTGCAGACCGTGTTTTGATTTTTACAATGTTGAAAGGCTTCACCTGCTTTCCTTCAAGAAATACAGAAAAAATCAGAAGACTTCTGTCCTCTATGGGTTGGAAGCTTTTGAGTGCTGCTAGATACAGGAAAACATGTTATTTTGTTCTCCTTTGTAGCATCAAACTGAATTTTACTTTTAAAATGAGTACCTAGTGCAATCCGTACTGCTGTACTTCGTGTTAAATTCTGTCACTGGGTTAAAATTGTCAAAGTTCAGTATCTTGCCATAAATTGGAAGCTCTTCTAATTTGATCAGAGAAAAAAAAAAATCCTTGACCTGAAATACTCTTTAGATCTTTGTCATTAATCCTCTGGGTGCGTGTCGGACAGGACAGTTTGGTTCCTGTTGGGCTTCTTTAGTTTCTTTTCTGTGCAAGAAACTTACAAGGGGAGCAGCACTCGACCTGTCTCCTTATGTGCTTTTTCTCCTGAAGCGTGTTTGGTTTTTTTCTTCAGTCGCTGTTCTTTGGAGAACTGCATTTACTATAAATAAATAAATAATTGGATACCCTCATTACATTACTATGAATTTCAGTGATGAGTAAACATGTATCACTGCTTCGTGCTTTCATTCCGCACTTTTCAAAAAGTAAGTCTTTTTGATCTTTGCTGCAAAGCTTATTTATAGAGGAGTCGCTCTCCTGTTGGTGTTTTGCAGTGGATATCGTTTAATACCCAATTAATTGGGTTTTTTATTTGGTGCATTAATAGTTCCTCTGACTCTGGAAGTGTGGAGAGCAATGCATTAAATAACGAGGTCAAGCTAAATTTCAGACATGTGGGAAACGCATGTAAAACCGTAGCTGTTACAGCTGCGCCAGTGTACACGGTGTTCTATCCTCATATTGTCTTTTTTCTGATTACCTCACATTCTATATTTGTATGAACTTCGTGACATGACAGCAACTGGTGTTAAGGTTTTTATTTTGTTTTAATTAGTGGTAATGTGGGTGCAGTGTTACTAGACCTGGTACTTACTTTGCGGAATTAAAGCAATTACACTTAAACCTCTTGTTTCAGATTACGACGATGGATTTTCTATGAAGCACACAGCCACAGCTCGGTTCCAAAGAAACCATCGTCTCATCAGTGAGATCCTGAGTGAAAGTGTGGTGCCCGATGTCCGCTCTGTCGTCACTACAGCCAGAATGCAAGTTCTTAAACGCCAGGTTCAGTCTTTAATGGTTCATCAGGTAAAGATAAATGATACGAAAGCAGCTAAAACATAATGGCGTTGGGCTGTACTCCAAGTCTCGGATCGTTTGATCATCTACATGACTATTCTTGTTGGGTGTCAATGTTCTGTACGCTCCAGTAGCTAATCTCTGGGTTCGCTTGGGAGTTGCAGGATGTGAGACTTCACCTTCTGTGCTCCTTTGTTACTGAGAATCATGTTAAACTGTATTTTGTTCTTCAGGGTGTCTTTAGTATTAATTCCATAGCTCCTCATTGTTATACAGAGCCCTCTGTATGTAGTGCAAGTCTTCTGTTCAACGGGTACTGGCGGAGTTGTGACTTCCAGGTAGCTTACGGCACATAATCTTGTTTGTAATTATTCTTTATTACAGTAAATCCTCCCTATTGTAACATTCTTTTCATGGAAAGTTAAATGCATACAAGGAAATCTAGTGAGGTCCCACTTGCACGTTTCACCTCGCTTTGGTGGGGCGTATGCCCGTATTCTCCCAAGGGGCACGTTAACAGGAGAGCCCCGTCGGAACAGTCAGTGTCCATGTAGGTGAAGAAAACTGAGACACCAGAATTAGAAAGAGATTTATTGCTTTTCTTAATTAACGAAAGAAGGGGGGTGCTATCCCTCCTTCCTTTTGAACTGTGGTGTTTCTCCTTCAGCGAATGTAAGTGGGGAGGGGTGTATAAGGCATAGATTTTGTGCTGGAGGATTCACCCCAAGTACATACCGTCTTTCATTTACAGTATGCCCAGCCGATCCCGAATGACTGCATAGACCCGTCTGTTGTTCGTACTTCTTATTATGAGCTTCTCAGCTATCGGGTATTAGATCAAGGAAGGCATAAGGATGTTTATGTATTATATAGGCATATTTTAAAATACTGGTCTAAATATTTTTGTACGTAGCTGTAAATTTTCTCCAGTTCTTCAGATGACCGCGTGTAAGGTTCGTAATGTTTATTTCGTTTCCAGCGTAAACTAGAGGCTGAGCTTCTGCAAATTGAAGAGCGTCACCAGGAAAAGAAGAGGAAGTTTTTGGAAAGCACAGAATCCTTTAACAACGAGCTTAAAAGGGTACAACTCCCGCTTCTCTCTGCGTACTCTGAGGAGTCTGTTAGTTACCCGTTTGTACGAGTGCTCTGCCTGCTTCTGTCTAGTTCTGTGTTCAGTGAGGTGTGACTGCCTGCAGTGTCCCGGGGGTGTCGGAAGGGGGACAGCACATGTGTTATTTCATGCTCCTTCAGTGACCTTTAGTGGTGACATTCAGCCAGTACAGTTTAAAGTGCCTTCAGGCCTGACTGGGTGAGTTCAGGGAAGGCGGCCTGACGCCGCTGGGGAGAGCACACTGCTCTGCCCATGGCTGCGGTCAAGTAACAAGGTTTAGGTTGTTTCTTCCTCCCCTCTTTTGTTGCTGTTGACTTGCTTGTATCTCCCTCCCTAGTTACTGAAGCTTTTCATGTAAACTGTCAAATCAAAAGAATTATGCCACATGTAGAAATATTGAACTCATAATTGGGTGTTACTGATGTTTTATTTTTCAGTGTAACTGAGACAGTAAAAGAGCTTTCTTCTTTTTTAATTGCTAGTTATGCAGTTTGAAAGTGGAAGTGGACATGGAAAAAATTGCAGCTGAAATTGCTCAAGCTGAGGAACAGGCTCGCAAGAGGCAGGAGGAAAGGGAAAAAGAAGCAGCGGAGCAAGCCGAGCGCAGTCAAAATAACATCGCAGCTGAGGAAGAACAGGCAGCTAACAAGATAGAGGAGAAGAAGGAAGAGGAGAGTGCTCCAATGGAGACAGGTAACAGCATTTGAAGACCCGCTTCAGAATTCTCGAACGATCAGCATTAAAGTATCTCTGTAGAGGCTGAGCGTAGCCAGGAGCGCCTCGTGTTTCTGCTGTTGGTAAGAAGAAAGGCTTCAGAAGAACAATATTCAGAATAGTTAACTTCATCTTGGTGAACACAGGCATTTGCTTTCTTCTGCTTAAATTGCTCCTCTTTAAAAAAGGAAGAGGCTGCGATCCCACACAGCCCTGTGTAAAGCTTTGTGTGTGATGTACCTAAGGGAAGAGAAAATTGCTTTCTAAACCTAACTCGCCTTTTAGACATTGGTTAGCGAGGAGCAACTGAGAGTCTCTCCTTGTCCCAATGTTGGCATCTAGCAAGGATGACAGAACGGCATTTCTTTCTGTGCTGCTCGTACAGGGTGGGTGATCTGCAGGTTTTCCCTGTGTTTGTACACTGACCTTAGAAATACTTTTATTTGAGAGTGTTGGTGGTTAATGTCGGGGAGTCATTGCTGTAACAGTACGGACGGAAGGGAAAGGGGACCAGGGAGTTCAAGTGCTTCTGGTTTAACGATGCACGTGGCTTTCTTGCGGCTGTACTTCTGAGGTCACGTAGCTGAAGGTGACTTTCAGGACACTGTGGCAGCACCTGAGCACGGAGAGGCCTTTCAGAGCTGTGCCTGTTACTGCCCATTTGGAGTGACAGAAATAGCTGCTAGGGAATACCTGGATTTATTAGATTGTTTCTTCTGAAATTCTAATTGCACAACCTAAATAAATGTATTGGCATGTAAATGACACTGAGAAATATCTTATTCCAGAAGAGCCTCACCCAGAAGAGAGCACAGAAAACCAGCAGAACGGTGAAGAAGGAACATCTACCCCAGATGATAAGGAGAGCGGCCAAGAAGGGGTCGATAGTACAGCGGAGGAGGGGACCAGTGACAGCAACACTGGGTCGGAGAGCAATAGCGCGACAGTTGAAGAGCCTCCCGCAGACCCCACCGCTGAGGATAGCGAGAAGAAAGAATAAATATTGACTTACTTCATGTGTCTTTTTAATGAAGTACTGTTTTGATTTCAAAATGTGCTCACGGCTTTTGTATCTCCCTTGCCTCTATCACTCGTCTCCAAAGGGTTTTAATAACATGTCAGATGATCAGCGTAGTGACGTGAAGGGGCCCAGAGGGGCAGAGGCCATCTTAGAACAGACAGAAAGGAAAACCTCATGTGTCGAAACAACATGGAGCGGTACCTACTATGGCTGGGGATTTCTGCCCTGGAAGGACATTGCTTTGGGGTTTTACATTAGCCTTTGTGCTAATATAAGGTGACCGCAGCGGGAGTGTCTTTCTCAGAGGCCCTTCTTGTCCGTTTGTGGCTGCAGTGAGGTGCAGCTCTGCGTCCCGTCTCCGCCGCAGCCCCGCAGGTACCCCGGGCAGCCCCGGCCGGGCAGTGCTGCGCCGCAGCCCGGGAGCGCTGTGCTGACGGAGGCCGAGGAAGCGGCACAGCTGAGAAATGTGGTCAGTGGCCGCTTTCTCGAGGGGTTACAGTGGTACTGAGGCACCCCACAGCTGACAGTGCTGTGAAGCACAGACACGATGGGTATAACCAAGAGCATTTCCTTCATCTAACAAAACCAAAAGCCTCAGCAGCCCAGCGTGTGGCCCCCCACTGCGTCAGGTCTCGGCAGCGAGGACACCTACCGCAGCTGCCCGCAGCGCTGGTGAGCAGCGCGCCCAAAGAAGGCCGCGGGGTTCGGCCATAGGGTTTTGTTGATGTCACCCTGGTTGTCTTTTACAGAGTAGCTGCTCTACAGGGATGGAAACTTGCACAGGTCCTTCAGGGAACGTTTCAGGAGATCCCTTCCCAAGGGACTGGTTGTAGTTGTCTTGGAAGTAAATGACGTATCTTAGGGGTTTCTTCTGGGATGGAGGATTACTCTGAACAAGTGTCTTTGCTTTTCTTTACCAATTAACTCCTTTACTTCCTACCAAGATACCCTGGTGTGATGTCGGCTAGAGATACGGCAAAATTCAGAGCAGGAGAGCTTTCAAACACAGACATGTTCTCTGAGCAGTCACACATGGCATAAATGGTAAAACATAGTAGTTCTGCTTGCAGTGAGCTTTCGAAACCTCTGGGAACTCTACAAATGTACTGAAAATGCCACATTTTGCCCTATATTTGAAGAAAAAAATACATGTAATTGCAATAACAGATACGAGCCGTTCTATGACTTTACAGCTCTTAAGAGGACACATGATGCGTATGCTTCAATAAACCAGTATGTTTTTATGGAATAGTGGGTATATCGGATGGTAATGTTTTTTAAATCCTTTTGGTCTTTTTTTTTTTTTTAATAGTCTAAAGATAATAAAATCTAACACGTTTGGTTTTTTTAAACTTACAGTGGTCTGGGTCTTGTCTTCCACGGTAATGCCCGTGTTTGATCTGAGGGCAGATGTGCAGGGACAAACCCGTCCCCAGCTCACCCAAACCTGCCAACACGCCGTCGCTTTTAGCTGCCCATGACCACTGCGGAAAAGGTTATTGCAAAACATGATGAAAGTGAGGAAGAAAGGGAAAGCACGGATGAAGTCCTCCTCTAATGAGCACTGTCGCAGAAGGAGCTACGTGGAGGGGGGCTTGTAGTGTCCTCATCTTTCAAGGAAAAGTAGGAGTTCTGATACCAATGTGGGTTTTTGACAAAGGTGGACACAAAAAGAACCCTCTTATGAGGAAAGGGAAACAACAACTGCTGCTTAATTTGGGTTTTAAAAATCTGAAGCAGTGAAACCTGCCTAAAAATTAAATCTAAATTCAAAATTTTGGTTTCTTGGAAGAGCGTTTCATGCCATTACGCTTAGCACTTGCAGTTGTACTGGTTAAAGTGCATTTTAGGAGTTTCTATTTCCAGCAATTAAAAGGATTGCTTTTCAAAAAATACATCTTGAGGCACTTAGGAGAAGGGGGGAGTTACCCAGTGACCCATTTTGGGTTTACATTTCATAATTAACTCTGTCAAAGAGCTAGTAATTAAGAGAGGAGGGTTATTTGTTCCACTAACTCATTACTCTGAGGAAACTCGCATCACCAAAAATAACGGGCGCTGGTTGAAATATGACGTGTGAGAATTCAGCGACGTGTGGATCTTCAGCTACGTACTCTCTCACTTTGGGTAAAAAAGACAGCGGTTAAGCAGACACCGGGCAGGTATGTGTTCCATGGAGCGAGGTGATTCTTGCCAGTCATTTAACACTTTCAGATTTTTCAAAACTGAAGGCAGAACTTAGAAAGATTGCACGGCCTCTCCTTCAGAGAGAGAGCGGAGTTATCACTTCGCTAAACCCTCTCCCTGCGCTCCACAAGTATTTCACTTCGATCGCAGAACAACCCGCGCGGTGGGCGCCCGTCGGGCTGCCGGTGCCTCGTTCCTCCTGCTGCAGCCCCGACTCTTACGCCAAACCCCGCGCGCTCATGAGTACACAGCGGGTCTGGCATCGCCACATCCACCCAGTCACCCCAGTCAGGACTGAATGGATTTATTTTCCTTTAATTTCAGCCTGTTGGGTTGCCCAAAGACAACCAACTTGTTTGCAGAGGCCATGGTGTGCCTGACTTAACCGAGAAACCAGTCGCCCTTGTGTTGAAACTGTGAGTTCTTTGTTAAAATCACATTATTCTAACTACAGAATTCCGCACAGAGACACGGCTGTTGCCCTCGTGTTTAAAGTCGAAGTTACCACGTTGCACTTTCAGAAAGGGAATTCAGATTTAAGAGAACAAATGGGATCGCTCACTCCTGTTTGGTTTATTCCCTTAATTCCACCCTGGGACCTGCTCGTGCGCCGGGTCATGCAGAAGCCAACGGAAGCGCTGCCGCCACCAGCTCAGCTCCCTTTAACAAACCATTGCGATTGTACAGGAATTGCTTTACATCTGAAGCTACACATCTGAAGATTTATTTACTGCATTTTGCTCTGCTAAAAAATAATTTTCTTGATCAATTGCTGCTGCCAACATCAAGCTTTGATTTCTTACGGGAGGCCAGCTGCTGCCTGGGCTGGGGCGGAATCGCCTGGTGCAGGAGGAGACTCCACACCTCGGGTGCTGCAAACGCTTCTGCAACAGCTTTTATCCGTGCAGCAGCGTTGGGTTTTGAAGGCCGTTTGTGCTTTTCATCTGCTGCATATTCTCAAGGTATATGTAAATAACAGTAATTATTGGCAAAGACAGGGTGTGTTGCAGCTACGGGTGTGTACCCGAATGCGTAGGTGTCATCTTCAAGGGTAAAATAACTTCTCCGAGCACGTGAAAACCTCCTGAACAAATGCCTGGTGGGCAGCGTTTGAAGACTGACCGAGCCCCCGCAAGGGACATGAGCGTCAGGGACCAAGTGCGGGAGAGAGACCTCGCAAGAAACCCGGCTCCTTCGCCGTCCTCCTGCAACAGCCCTTCCTCAGCCCCACCACTCCCTCGGCTGCCACTGGAACCAGCTCGCAGGAGCCTGGTGCCTGCTCGACGCCTCCAGCTGGCCGTCCACCAACCGCCTCTGAGACAGAGCAGCTAACTGGGGCTCCTGATGAGCCAACACACCCCCCCACAGGTCCTCAGCAGGACCTGAAACCCTCCCACGGGCAGATGGGGCAGATAACGCCCACCAGTGTGTTGTGCCTCTGCTGTTGGGGCCACTGGAGTTAGTGGTCGCCTTCCCCTGGGTCTCGTGTGCGTTGTTTGGCGAGTGGGTGCAAGCTCCTGGACCCCCGGGGGTCCTTCTCCCCCCGGCTGTGCCCAGTGTCCCCCGGCTGCTCCCGGGGAGGTGTGGGAGCCCACCAGCATGGTGTGGGGCGGCTGAGGGTGCTGGTGCTGCTGGAGACAGGCTGGGCTCCCCCGGGGGTGACCATCTCCCACGGGCGCCCCAGAGCTGGCACATCTTTCACGCCCACAGGGGACTGACAAGGAAATGAAGAGGCAAATCTGAAACGTTGCAGCACGGCGAGGGAGTTGTTTTCTTTGGTTTGTTTTTCTCTTCAAGAGAAAAAACGGGCTTTTTCTTGAGTCTGACTCATGCTTTGTGACCTCTGACATCCCCACGGCTCTGCTCTTTGCTTTGTTCTGCAGGTAAAAGTTCTTTTCTGTGTTGGGTAGTTCTCAAAAATACGCTTTTATCTCACCACAAAAATACACTTAGCAAAAGTTACTAAGATGCCTGGGTTAAAAAAATTGCTCTTAAGGTTTTTTGGATATTTTTTTTTTGCATTAATGTAATTATCAGATTTTATCACGCACACCCCAAACATTCTGACCTACAAAACTGAAATACAGTAACAGGTCCACGCAGCTCCAAAGGGTAAATACCGAAAGGTATTTAGATGTTAAAATATGAACTAGGCACCTGGTGAGACTGTTCAAGAGCAATTCAGCCGGCGAAGTGCTTCACTCCTAGTGAGAGCCCGAGGACTTGGCCTCTTAAGAGCTTTACGTACCTAAATACGTTTTCAGAGCACTGACCTACATACGTGACTGAGGTCGGCTTCCCGTGAAAGACAAAAGTCTCATGTTTGTGCAACAGCAAAACTTTAGGAGGAACAAAAAAGCTTCTGGAGAAAGTAAACAAGGGTTTAGAACAAAAAAACTCACCTGTGCATCCCATGGGATGGGCTTGCAAAGCCGATCTGCTTCAAGCAAAATGAGGAGTTGAAGTGGAGAAGCTGCGCTTACACAAAGGATTATCCCTGTGATAAAAGAAATGAAACAGATTAATAGAGCTTTAGAGGGATAAAAGAGCAAAGTAAGACCAAACCCTGGGGCGGAGGGGAGGCCAGGGCAGCTCCTGGTGTGTGCAGAAACAGGAGCTGCCTCTCGACGCGGCACATCGCGGCGATGCAGAGCGGGTCCCAGCGTGGACCCCGGTCCCGGGGGAGGCAGAGCCGCCCGCCGCCCCGCGAGGGGAGCGAACCCGGGGACAGCGCTCGAGGGAGGGAGGGAGGGAGGGAGCCCCTGAGGCAGCCCCTGAGGCAGCGGGGTGTGCAATGAGCAGAATGTGTTCCTGGGCGACAGGGAGCGGGGTTCAGCTCCTCTCTCTGCTCAGTTCAACACCGGCATTTCCTGAGGGCTCTCATCGGTCCCGTCGAGGGTT